TGAAGATAGAGAATAGAATGATGGTTATCAGAGGCTAGGAATGGTAGTGGGAGTAGGGGAGGGAAAGTGGAGATGGTTAATGGGTTCAAAAAATAGAATACGATCTAGTATTTAATAGCACAACAGGGTGATTATAGTCAGTAATAATTGTACATTTTAAAATAACTAAAAGGGCATAATTGGAATGTTTATAACAAAGGATAAATGCTTCAGGGGATGGGATACCCCAATTACCCCAATGTGATTATAAACACTGTATGCCTGTATATCTCATATAGCCCATAAATATATACATCTATTATGTACCCCCAAAAAATAAAAATTTTAAAAAAGGATACACATCTCATTCATGACCTGTAATAATAGTCGATCAAATGACAGATCACTGCTAAGGCCTGTCGTGGGTAATAATTCAACAATATTGGGAGTTAGAAAAAGGCTAGAATGTAAAAGAATATTCTGGGAGTATTTATTGGTAAGCCCCTTCCACATGTCTGATCTGCAGAGTTCTTCCCTACCAGCCCTCTGTAGAACTCCATAGTCTAATTCTGACCCTCTCAGAGCCCTCTAAATCCTCACTCTTCAAGGGGGAAAAATTATATCTGCCCTGTTTAGTTGGAGCTGGCAGATCATAAATGCTCTGCAAAGGGAGCAGCAGAGAAGAGTGGAGAGTCAAGGTTTCAGGCATATTTGACCCAAGAAAGCCAGAAGTGATACAAGTTTTGAGTGAACACGAGCTACCTTATATGGAACCATTGAGAGACTAGGTGGAGTCACTCTGTGGGGCCCTCAGCAGGTAAATACATGGTAGCTTTAGCTTTAGGAGAAAGATGGTAAGGTGTAAACTGTTGAGTCAGTACGATATGAGAGAGTGAAACTTGTGGAGATGAGAATGGAAAAGTGATTGAGAAGGAGTAGAAAGAAAAGACAACAAAGGGAAAAAGAAACCACAGGATAACCTTGAACAGGCCGAGTTTAAAAAAAAAAAAAAATCAGCTTGAGGAGAGGTTGTTCTTTATACTGCCAGGGGTGCACACATGCAAACATATATACACAGAGACACATAGCTATACATTTCCTCCACCCACACATCCCATATATACACAATAGGCTCATTTCCTTAACTCAATATATACAACTCATGTGTCCACACCTACACATAAATATGTTCCTGTAAATGACACAATACACTCACTCTCTTTCACCTCTGCATATTTTCTGATATCAACAAGAGTAACAACAGCATCTCAGCAAAGCTGTCTAAAACAAGAGCCCCAAAATAAAGACAGGCACAGGCACAAAGACTGTGTGACCAAGACCTGACTAAATGCCAACAGAAAGGTTAGCATGACCGACTCCTGCTTCCTAAAGCTATTGGTATTTTTTTCTGGAATTCTGTAAATAGAATTACAAATGGAAGAACTTCAGGTTAATGGCTAAGAATTAACATTATCCAGATTGTTCCCCATTTTGGAAAGGATATTTTAGTGTTCATGTTTACCAAATGACCCTATTCAAATGTTAACTGAAGTAGCAAGATATAAAAACATAAAGCACAATCCTTCTAGATTCATTCCAAATGCACATAGGAATCAACTTGGACACAAACATACAGACACATACTTGACCATCTCTTACTATGAAGTATATTACTGCTAAGACTCATATCCAGCTTTATCACTAAAGAAGCTTTTAGGCCAGGTGTAGTGGCTCAAGCCTGTAATCCCAATACTTTGGGAGGCTAAGGTAGGCGGATCAGTCAGGAGTTCGAGATCAGCCTGGCCAATATGGTGAAATCCCGTCTCTACTAAAAATACAAAAATTAGCCAGGCATGGTGGCATGTGCCTGTAGTCCTGCTACTCAGGAGGCTGAGGCAGAAGAATCACTTGAACCCAGGAGGCAGAGGTTGCCATAAGCTGAGATCATGCCACTGCACTCTAGCCTGGGCAACAGAGGAAGACTCTCTCAAAAAAAAAAAAAAAAACAAACAAACAAACAAAACAGCAGCTTTTAATTACATAGCTGAAGGTAGTACTACATAAAGAAAAGGGCAATTAGACTGACTTGCAAACTACCATATAGTAAGAACTATGTATAGACACTGTTCTAACATTTTTACATTCTCTCATTTAGTCCTGACAACTCTATGAAGTAGGTATTATTTTCATATTACATATGAGGAAATGAGACACTAAGAAATTAAATCTTATGTTGAGAAAAATGGACTTTGAACGCAGATGGTCTAGCTCTAAATATTATGCTAAAATGAGATTTCATTCTTATGCCAGCCACAGACTAGTAGTGACTTTCTGTGGTCCTCTAAGGAGAAGTACTTTGGGCTATGTTTGGGCTTCATAAGAAGGAGTGCTGTACTCAACGGCTGAAGTCTGCCACAGGTAAGAAGGTGAATTAAGACATGCAAAAAGAGTATTTGCAACACTGATCTGGGTTCCAGAGGTTGAGCACTCACTAACTGTATGTGTAAGCTTGCCCAAATACCACAAGTGAGAAGTGAAGGAAGCAAAGACAATTTTGCTACCTTGGCAGCATTGTAATGGATTTTGGACTCATGTGAGGACATCTTACCACAACCCTGAGTGGCTCAACGTCGTAAGGTTTTAGATCACTATCCTCTAGTTTAGAATTTCACAACTGAAATGTTTGTTTTCTTAACTCCACTCTGCCTGAATTCTCCAGAGTTCTCCAGAGGGACAGAATCAATAAGATATATGTATGTACATAAAGACATTTATTAGGGAGAATTGGCTCCTGTGATTGCAACGGAAAGTCTCCCAGTGGGCCCTCTGCAAGCTGAGGAAAGAGAGAGGCTGGTAGCGTGGTTCAGTTCAAGACAACAACCTCTCAAAATCAGGAAAGCTGACAGTGCAGCCCTCAGTCTAAGGCTGAAGGCCTGAGAGTCCCCAGGGGACCACTGGTCCAAGTTCTGGAGTTCTAAGGCCAAAGAACCTGGAGCCTAATGTCCAAGGGCAGTAGGAGAGGAAGCAAGGGGTCCAGCGAGGTGTGAACTCCAAATATCCGAGATAGGTCTCAATCAATTTAGGAAGTTTCTTTTGCTAAAGTTAAGGACTGTGCACCCCTGACACAGCCTCAGAAAGTCGTGATGACATATGCCCAAGGTGGTCGTGCACGGCTTGGTTTTATACATTTTAGGGAGACAGGAGACCTCAGTCAATATGTGCAAGATCCACATTAGTTCAGTCCAGAAAGGTGGGACAACTCGAAGCAGGGAGGGGGCTTCCAGGTCATAGGGTAGATAGAAGACAAACTGTTCCATTCTTTTGAGTCTCTGATTCGTCTTTCCAAAGGAGGCAATCAGATAGATATGCATTTATCTCAGTGAGCAGAGGGATGACTTTGAGTTTTTTCTGTCCTTTGTCCACAAGGAAATTCCTTGTCAGCAAGGTAGGTAGCTTATCTTAGTAGCTATCTTTTTAAGGAATAGAATGGGAGGCAGATTTGCCCTAAGCAGTTCCCAGCTTGATTTTTCCCTTTGACTTTGTGATTTTGGGGTTCCAAGATTTACTTTCCTTTCACAAAAGAAGAGAAAAAGAGAGAGAGAGAGAGAGAGCTGGAAGACTCAGCAAGCTGCTTATGCCCCTTTTCCCCCCTGCTTTGTTCTGGCTGTGCTGCTAGATGATTGGATGGTACTCACCCACACTGAGGAAGGTCTTCCTCTCCTAGTCCACTGACTCAAATGTCAATCTCCTCTGGCACTCATAAACAGTATGAGACACACTCACAAACAGTACTTCACTAGCCATCTAGGCGTCCCTCAATCCAGCCAAGTTGACACTTAATATTAACCATCACAAAATCCACTGTTTGTCAACTTGACACCCATATATGTTTTAAAATTATAATCTCTAAAGATAATAAAGTCATAATTTTGCCTAACAATTCTTCATGCAAGCAAAAATGCACAAATCCTTAACTTAAATGTTATTACATAAAATTAACACTTAAGTGCCAACATGAATTCAATAAATTTTACATTACATTTCAAGGGAATAGAGAAAATAAAGATATTTGCTTAATATAGGTATATATATATATATATGCACAAACATATTTTTACCAAAATGAGCAAATATAGTCTTCATTTCTGTAACTGGTCACATGGTCATAGTTGGTATTAATAATTACCTTTTTCTGCTCGCAATCCCAGTACTTTGGGAGGCTGAGGCTGGCAGATCACCTGAGGTCAGGTGTTTGAGACCAGCATGGCCAACATAGTGAAACACTGTCTCTACTAAAAATACAAAAATTGGCCAGGCAAGGTGGCACGCACCTGTAATCCCAGGTACTTGAGAGGCTGAGGCAGGAGAATCACTTGAACTCGTGATGCAGAGGTTGCAGTGAGCCAAGATTGCACCACTGCACTCCAGCCTGGGTATCAAAGTGAGACTCTGTCTCAAAAAAAAAAAAACTTTTTCTATTATTTATTTTGTATTCTCTTTGTCTTTAACAAGTACTTAGCTGGTTGTGCTTTTTATTTGCTAGAGTGACCCAAACTTATTTTTTTGTTTGTTTCATTTTGTTTTGTTTTTTGAGATGGAGTCTCATTCTGTCACCCCGGATGGAGCACAGTGGCATGAACTTGGCTCACTGCAAACTCCGCCTCCTGGGCTCAAGCAATTCTCCTGTCTTTGTTTCCCAAGTAGCTGGGATTACAGGTGTGTGCCACCACACCCAGCTAATTTTTGTTGTATTTTTACTAGAGACTGGGTTTTGCCATCTTGGCCAGGCTGATCTTGAACTCCGCACCTCAGGCGATCTGCCTCCCAAAGTGCTGGGATCACAGGTGTGAGCCAACACTCCAGGCCCCAAATTTTCATTCTCACAGGGTCTGGGTCATCCCTAGTCCTGCCTGGATTGGGCTGTTGTCATTTCCTATGGACCGTAATTATAGAGCAGGGTAATACTATTAATAACAGACACCCTAAGGGATTTTTTCTATTCCAGACATACTCTCTCTTACCTCCACTGTGCAGTAGTAGTCTGATTTTGATAGTCTGGGTCAGTCACCACAGCCAACACTGTAACCCCTTTCTTAACCTTTTGACTTAGAGGCATGAGGTGTTAAAAGTGACCAGGTGACAGTCTTAAATTTCATTTCAATGGAATCGTTGTGTCTTGGTGGCAGCACTCCTCCCTCAGGAACTAAGAGCTCTAGGCCAGCAGAACATAATGTCATGGGAACAGGAAGCAAACATTCTGCTGTTAGGTCACTAGGGGTAGTGGTGAGTGGGGCCACTTCTACCTCCTATTAACCATCACACGGCCTCACATCTGTTACTAAACATGATAGAATTCAATCTACAATAAAACTCCTTTATGTCCTTAGAATACAGTGGGGAATTTAATGAACATTCAAAAGTTGTGATAGTAAAGAATGTGATTTTCCATACTCAGAATTCAATAGAGAAGAAAATCAAAGGACAGTTGAAATTCCATCACTTGAACCAAGCTTAATATGTTTAGCTGCTCTATCAGACCACGAACAAAATCATGTGCTCACCTTCCAAAAAGAATGTGATGCTTAATACTGATCAATGGATATGAGTAAGAAGAACGCTCTATATCTTTTTTTTGAGATGGAGTCTTACTCTGTTGCTCAGGCTAGAGTGTAATGGTGGGATCTCGGCTCACTGCAACCTCCACCTCCCAGGTTCAAGCGATTCTCCTGCCTCGGCCTCCTGAGTGGCTGGGATTACAGGTGCATGCCACCATATCCAACTAATTTTTGTATTTTTAGTAGAGACGGAGTTTTACCATGGTGGTCAGGCTGGTCTCAAACTCCTGACCTCAGGTGATCCGCCTGCCTTGGCCTCCCAAAATATCAATTTAATTTTTACAACTTCTAGCAACCCCGTTAGAGAACTTATGTAAGGTCACCGAGTCATTCTGAGAAGATGCAGAACTATTACCCCAAGTTGCTAATACCCAGCTTATTTTTTCTCTGCCCTCAGATTTGCCATTTAGGGGATGGGAAGAACCAAGTGTTTGTCAGTCTCTCTCATGACCAAGAGTCTGTGGGCAGGTGACTGGCAGGGAAAAGGGCTGTGGGCTGTGTCCATGTAAGGGCTTGGCCCTCAGCCAGGCTTCATTTGAATCACACACTCAAGAGACAGAATTAACCAGCTGTGGAGATTGAGTTCACTGAAAAGGAAAAATGAGGCTGCCAAAGAGGGGGTGGGGGACACTACTGCAATCTAAGACTGTGTTGAATAGAACAACAGGCATTTGTTGTTGTTTTTTTTCTCCCTGCTCCACTTCATGAAGGGTTTAAGGGTGTAATACAAATTTTGTCCAGAAACAAGTAGATAGAAATCTCTCTCTATACTTGTGGCTGTCAGATCACACACTTAAAAAGAGTCCTAAATTCCACAAAAGAGCTTCAGGTGGTCTTTTGGGAAATTAGAACTTGAAGGGTGACCAGGATCATGATGGGGCAAAAAGCAATAGCATGTGGTGGATGACTGAAGAATCTGAGAATATTTCTTCTAACAAAAGGAAATTAAAGACAGTTATGTTTTACCTAACACTTAAAATTGTCACATTGAAGAAGAAGACTTTTTTAATGTGGGTTTGGAGAACAGAATACAACTGATAGTTGAAAGTTCTAAAACCTGTCCAAAAATGAAAAACAATTCTTGTGAAGTAATGAGTACCTAATATCACAACTATTCCAAAAGAAGCACACGTATAAATTTTTCTGCAGCATGCCTAATGTTTGGTGGTCATAAAGAACTTTTAAAAATCATGCATTTAACCAACTCAGTCATGTATTTTCTAAGTTATCTTTTCTTCTTTATTAGGCACTATTGTGGAAGATTTCATATGCTTATTTGCTGAGTCTTAATAAGTAACTTGGACTACTTTTATATAAAATGCCAAAGAATTTTATTAATCAAAATTAAGGAGGGAAGTATGTCACATGTCTGGGTGGATCAAGGTGGTTGGGGAGAGATATCATCTACTTCAATTGTCATGGGATTTACTTGTTAAACTTTTCCCTACAGAGGACCAAAACATTTCAAATACCATACAGACTTCTGGGCTATGGATTATACTGTCAGCCATGTGGAAGATTTGACAATAGCAAATCATTTATCACTGATACAGCACATTAGTCCAGCTCCTTTGAACTGAAAGGGGTTTCAGGACCAATCCCAGTTTCCCCTTCTTTTCTCTCTTTATGAATTCTACTAAGTTATTATTCTCATAAGAGCCCACCTGATCCAGCTATTTGTAATGCAGTTAGTGACCTCACTACCCTGACTCCAGTTGAATACCTTATTATATACGGAAAGAAAAGAGTGAAGCTGTTCTTTCATCTGTTCTGTAATTCCCAGACTTAAAAAAATAACTATCTGCATTTTCAGAAGGTTTTATATCAGATTCCCTTTACTTTGCTGATACAGCAGTAGATACAATAGCTGCATAGGGCAATTTTGTAGCCAACTCGCTGCAACTGAACGAGGCAGGATGAGAAATTGTATTCAAAATTTAGTTTCACAGTTTTATACGTCTTTCCAGATGAGTAAGATCAGAACTTTCATTCATAGATGACAATAAGTCACAATGGTTAAAATAAATAAATAAATAAAAAAGGAGGGGGAACCCTTTCCTTATAGGTGCTGCTGAATTGAATGTATTTAGAACCAAAAATCACAAACAAAAAAATTTGATGCCTTTAAATAAAGTAAATAGGTAAAAGGGATGGATATGAAGCAATAGAAAGCATAGTGTTGAAGTTTAGTTGGAACCTCTGTGCTCTGCTTAAGCACTTTGTAATTCAACAACAATGTCAATACCACAACAATTTAAAAATGTAGCTTAACCAAATACTTCAGTTGAATATTTTTAGCTTGTAGATTTGCCATTTAAGCGGGAAAGATCGTTAAACATCACCTGGTCCAGTAGTTTTTAACTCTGACTCCAGATTCAAATGCCTGGACAGCTTTTTAAAAATACTAATGCCTGCTCCTCACACCAGATCAATTAGATGAATATTTCTGCCATGACAACCAAACAACAGTGCACTTTAAAAACATCACCAGCTGATTCTAATGTACAGCTAGGCATAAGAAGCACTATGAGGAAACAAAAGCTTAAAGGAATAAAACAGTTTAAGATTGCAGTAGCATATGGTAGCAACCATAACCAACTCTTAATTTTCAGTGATTAACTTCATAAGTTCAAACTCTGAGATGTCCAGAAGCAAACGCAAAGAGGAAGTAAGGAAATGGATACATGCAAAAGTCATCAAGATTCTCATTTGATTACAGTAAATATTTGGCGAGTTGGAAGTTAACGATATGCTACACCATCTATACCTGTAATGTGCCCAAACTAACTGAATACTTTATATCTCTCTTTAAATCCAGTAATAATCCATTAAAGAGATGAAGGTACCAATGTGCAGGCAAGTAAACCACATTGCCAAGTATACAAGCTAATAAATTTCCCAGGATGGATTTAGGGTTTTCTATTTCAAGTAAAATTTACAAAAAGTTAAATGCACAAATCTTCAGTGTACAATTACACGAGTTTAGCAACTATATACATCCATGTAAGCAACACTATCACAATGAAGAACGTTTTTATCACCCAGGAAATTACTTTATGTCCCCTTCCAGTCAATCCACTCACCACAGGAAACAACTATGGTTCTGATTTTTATCACTGTGTACTAGAACTTCACATCTTAGGAAATTATATAGTGCTTTCTCCTTTGTTTCTTGCTAGTTTGAGCAGTATCATTTTTTTGAAATCCATTCCTATTGTTCCATTTTATCAGTAATTTGCTCCTTAATGTAGCTGAGGAGTATTCCATTATATGAATATACCACAACTTATGTATCCATTGTACTCTTGACATTGGCTATTGTTAGTAAAGCTTTTGGCTCTTTACTAGTAAAGTTGCTATAAACATGCTCAAGTCTTGTTGTAGAAACATTTTCATTTCTCGTAGGTAAACACTTAGGGATGGAATTTCTGAGTCACAACAGAGGTATATGCTTAACCTTATGAAAATTATCAAGCTGTTTTCCAAACTGGATGTTCCATTATCTACTTCTCTGAGTAAGATCTGAGAGTTCCACTTACTGCATATCCTCACCAACATTTGTTGTTGCCACAAAGAAGTGGTGCAATATTTTATTTTCGTTTACACGTTTACATTTCTCTGATGACTAATGATATCAAGCACGTTTTCATGTGCAATTCACCATTTTTTTAACGTCCAGCACTTTTGTTCAGTTGTAAAAAAAATAAAAAATAAAAAAACGGTATCTTTTTATTAATGGTTTGCTCTTATTCTGGGTCAAGTTCATCATCGAATATATATTGCTAATAGTTTTCCCACATTGCAGCTAAACTTTTAATTTTCTTTTGATGAGCAGAGAATTTTTTCTTTTTTTATTTTGGTGAAATCCAATTTACTGCTTTTTTGCAGCTAGTGTTTTTTCTTTCATCTCTATAAAATCTTGCCTATCTTAAGATCATAATATAGTCTTCTGTGGTTTTTTTTCTTCACAAGACCTTTACAGCTTTAGCTTTTATAATTGGATCTAGAATTTATCTACATAAATTTTGTGAATATTGTGAACTGTGGCTAAGATTCATTATTTCCATGATTATCCTGTTATTACAGCACTGCTCAAAAAGACTTTCCATTGAAGTGTCTTTGAGCTTTTATTGAAATTAACTGACTATATGAGTATTGATTTATTTCTGAGCTCTACTTTGTGCCAGTGATCAGCTTGTATATCCTTATGCTAATACAATACTGTCTTGATTACTGTGGTTTGCTGCAGGTCTTGATATCAAGTAATATAATTCATCTGAATTTGTTCTTTTTCACGATAGCTTTGGAAGTTCTTTATCTCTTGTATTTTCACATAAATTTTAGAATAAAGTTGTGTATTTCCACAAAAGAATGCAGATTTCATTTAGTTTGTAATTAGGTCTAATCAAACCATATTAAATCTTCCAGTTCAGTAACATGTTATCTATCTTCATAAACTTAGGTCTTCTTTAAATCTCTGAGGAATATGTTAGAATGTGTAGTAGAGTCTCTATATCTTTTTGGGTAGTGCAGAGGGGGGCATAAAGAGAGAATGGTTAATGGGTACAAAAATACAGTTAGAAGGAATAAGATCTAGCATTCTGTAGTACGATAGCCCAACTACAGTTAACAATAATTTGTGGTATATTTCAAAATAACTAAAAAGGTGGAATTGCAATGTTCCCAACA